AAGACCAGCATTCACACCATTGCTTGGCACAAGCTGTGCAGACCAAAGAATGAGGGAGGGTTGGGCTTCAGGAGGATGGGTGATTTTAACAAAGCCCTATTTCTCAAACAAGTCTGGAGATTACTTACTAGCAATCGGGGATTGTGGGTGCAGATTATCAAGGAGAAAAAATGATTCCCCATGGTGGAAGAAGGTGGTTGCATTATTGGATGAGACGAAAAAATGCTTGTTTTGGCAGGTTAAGGATGGTACAAGGGTCCAAATAAGCGACCCATGGATTCCTACTCTCCCGGAGGGCGTACCCCAAATTCAAAAATGATGTACAGGAGCCTACAAACTTAAACCGGGTTTGTGATATCATTCTGGAAAATGGAAGCTGGAACATTGAGCTCCTAAGGAGTTTGTTCACAGAGGAAACAGTAAATCACATCACCCAGTTGCATAGATCGACTCAGAATAGCGAAGACAAACTGGTTTGGAAAGAGTCTAAAATAGCCACATACAGTGTAAAATCAGGGTATGCTTTTCTTACCAAACAAAACCCCTCATCGTCTCAAACAACTACCCCTTGGAAAATCATTTGGAAAACCAAAGTCCCACCAAGATTCCAATTATTCATGTGGAAGGCATGCAGGAATGGCATAAAAACTAAAGAAAAAACGAGTTTCTTGAATGAACAAGACCAACGTTGTTCAATTTGCAACATGGAAAAGGAAACATGGCAGCATGTGTTTTTCCAATGCCATTATGCTAGGGCGGTGTGGCTCCTTGCACAGATAGGGATAAACCCTGAGGACGTTCAAAATAGACATCTACATCAATTCATGTCACTGTGGATTGAAGAGAGGTTAAATCACCTGCCATCATAGGACCAGATGAGCTATATTAGTAAGTTTCTTGTGTTGTTCAGACTCATTAGGGATATGCGCAATGCAAAGAACCACGGTCAAACCATTTCACACCCTACACAGTTAGTTGAAATGGCCAACACATTCTAGTGTCCAAGTTCACATAAAAGAAAACAAGAAATAAGGAGAAAAGTAGCTTCTTGTACACTTTTCGACCATCTGATTTTCACAGATGGAGCTTTCAGAAAAGATACAGGAAGAGCAGCTATTGGCTTCATAATACTGGCTAAGGATTTCTCGGTGCTTTATGCAGAAGGTTGAGCAGTCAAAGCCTCATCAGCAACCCAAGCAGTAATCGAAGCGTTGAAGACGGCTATGGAACTGAAAATCAGATCGGCGCTAGTTTTTTGCGACTCAGAAAATGTGGTTCGAAGCATCCAGGAAGAAAGCGGGGTAGAATGGGATCTAAGTTTCAGAGACAAATACTATAATATGATGCTATATTTTGATAGTATAGATATTAATCATATAAGCAGAAATGCTAATACTGCTGCACATGAACTTGCATATAACACTTGTAAATACGTATATCCCCAGTCAAAGCGGCAGCAGTCACTCTTCATGCAATATTTCTACTACATCTATATAAAGTCTCCTTGCTCTTCTCGCGAAAAAAAAAATCCCCCATGGTCACATTCTTCATTACTACTAAAATAATTCTAGTATCGGCTAGTGATTCGATTAGTGCGCTTATAGCTGCATCCGCGTCCAATCAGATTATCAAATCTGAAATTCAATATTAGACTTGGGATTTGGATTTAATACTCATTAATTTTATTGTGATTAAGTTAAAATATAAAAAACAATTATTTTTTAAGTTATATATGTATACTTTTAACTTATACATGTATATTAAATATATTAATTAAAAAATTGATCAATCAGGTAGAATTTCATCAAAATTCAGAAAACAAAATTCATTAATCAAAGCCTTTCCAATTTCATGTTTTCTTACATAATAGATTTTTCATATAATACATATACACAATAATAATTTTTAATTAGATTGGACAGGGTTAAATCCATATGACACGTTTTAGCATCCAAACCTAAATATCATCGAATTTGGTGTCAAATTGGGCTTTTAAAGACCAACAGCCCTATTCATCTACAAAGGTAGCACATGGGCTTCACATAAGAAAGCTATTTTTCTCTATGCGTTCTTATGTAGGTGTCTAAGAGATTTTCTTGTGGAACCTATTAATTGATGCACAAAATTTATTGAGGGCAACAAATCCGAATCTTAAAAATTAAAATACTATCGGTTTTTGGAAAATCGGTAACCGAAATCGAACTAAAAATAGTTGGTTAATCGATTGACCAGTTCGGTTCATCTGTTTTTCGATTTTTTATTTTTATAATATATATATATATATATATATATATATAATATACATAAATATATAAAAAAATATAGAAATATATGTATACTGGTCGGTTTGATTAATCGCTAGTTTTCTATATTGGTTAATCGAAACCGAACCAGTACCTTCGGTTTTTTAAAAACTAAACCGACCGATTCGGTTAACCAATTTTTCGGTTTGGTTCCAGTCATTTTTTTTTTTTTCGGTTGGTTTGGTTTTCTTGCTCACCCCTAAGAGAGAGTGTATTGCCTAGTGAAAGAGTTCATATTTGTTCCCAACATTTGCTCCTGACACCAACAAGTCATTATCATCAAAACATATCTCCATCAATGATAAAGGGAGATGTTTCCAATGTGTAGCTGTAGCGACCTGTTGGGAGCATCTTATTGGCAGCAGATCCCTACCCGTGTGGACAAAGAAAAACTCACACAAAATTAAAGGCAGTGTTTGGCATCGATGCCATTTTCTGAGAAAACAGCGCCATATTGGTGCCACGTCAAAAAAAACAGTGCTTCTGAAACAACCTTTTATTTGGCGTCATTTTACAAAAAAACAAACATTGCTCTAGACCATGCCTTGAAAATCAGGAAAGTGTGGTATGAAGAAACATCAAATTCAATGTTTTCTCAGAAAACAACCTATTGCTGCCAATGGTGCAATGCATGGCATCATCTTCAGCATTGGATAATGTAGACCAATGGTGAAAACGATTATGCAGCTTTAGTACCAAACACAACTAATGTTGTTTTCCCAAAAAACAACTTATGTGACAACATCGATGCCAAACAAAAAAAAGGAGTCGTTTTCTCAGAAAATGGTGCAACAGACTCTCATGCATACACTCAAAATACATCTCTGAAGCATCGATGCCAAATACCTAAAAAAAAGAACAGGCAGAGGCAATAACTATTACCATCCAAACACAAAAAGGACAAGATAGAAAGCTTTAGTCGGGTCCATTCAAAATTTAACAGAATCTCAAATTCTTAACCCGAGTAGATACAAACCAAGTTTTTGATTGTACCCTTACAGTTGAGGTTACGAGCCCAGATTTCCTACCCACTCTCTATCTGTGTGAATTGCAACCACACATCTCTTAATTCATAATAGAGATGTATGGCTCCAAGTGGGTAGAAAAAGTGAGTAGGAAATCCCGAGTGCCAGCTAACGTCATTTTATTACGTGACTACCACCTAAGATATTAGAGATACTTGTCATAACGTTGTTGTCCCAATTAGAGATGGCAATTTCACGGGAAATTTCGGGTATCTGACCTGTCCTGAACCTAATAGGACCCATTTATCAAAACCCTATAGGGTTTGGGTTTTGACTTTAGGGTATCCGATACCCGATACTCGGGATGTATAAATATGAACCTATTATATTATATATCATGCACAAATTTATAAATTTTAAGTACTAAGATAATTATTTTATTATTAATATTTTATTTGTATAAATTTCTTGAGATTAAAATCATCATTTGATGTAAATTTGGATTTTATAGATTGTTTATTTCATTTAGTTATAAAATGCTAATTTTAAATATTATTTCTTTTAATTTTTAGTTGGAATTGTTAATCATATACATGTGTTGATTGTTTTGATGAACACAAAAGTTAATAAAATCTATTTTATTTCATTAAATAACACAAAAGGTGAGATGGCTTAGTGGCTTAAAGGAGTGTCAAGAGATTTTGATGCTATCATTAATTGATCCAAGTTCAAGTCACATATTTAGTAGAAAACGTTTGGCCAAGGGATTTAACGGGTGAGATGGGTCGGGACAGGTTTAATGGATTTGGGACGGCACAGGTTTAGAAAATTGAAAGGAAAAGTTAGATGGGTTTAAAATCAGGGATAGATAGGTGGGTTCAGGAATGGGTAAGGCAATTTGCACGGGTACCCTACCATTGCCATTCCTAGTCCCAATTCCCATGTTTTTCTTTTCTTTTCTTTTTTTTTTTTTTGCTTTTTTGAGATGCCCAATTCCCTATATAATAATTTTGGTAGTTTCATGGCCATCACATGGATCAGGCTCAAATCCATCATCAACTAAGAAATGAGAAGCTTTAGTGTTAAACACAAGCATGTGAGATGAAGCAAACCGTGCTCAACTAGTTACGGTGTCTGATCGGTGATGAACAGTGTGCAAAAAATGGGAAGCTTTAGTGTTAAACACAAGAAATGAGAAGCTTTCGTATTCAACACGAGCAGTGTGCAACTGTGTTAGATAGGAAGCCAGAGAAACCTATGGACCACGTCATTCATGGTTAGTTTCTAATTATATGCAATTTACGTATACAGAGCCCTTCTCTAACAGTAAATGTCAGGCGAAAAACAATTAGAATACAGAAGAATTTTGACGATTTATTCAAAATGACCCATTAAATCACGACTCCACCAATCTATGGCCTTTCACTAGCAAGGAGACCACAATCTTTTAGAGAAACTACACTTTATCAACTTCAGCAAATATCTCAAATATAATTAGCAACTCCTTGAACATAATTCTTTCTCCCATCTCAAAAGACATTTGTTGTTTCAGTCATCTCCCATGAAGATAAATAGAACCACTAATTGTTCGATCACAAAAGGAATGCAATATAACATGATAAGAAAGGGTTTGCCTCAAAAGAACCACTGTAAGAATGCGTTCGTTAAGTGTGTTTGACATTAATAGAATTGGGATTGACCCTTGTAAAATAAAAGACGGCCACAATCTCAGTTGGATGGAGCAAAAGAATAAGAATTTATATTGAAACAAATTGAATTTTACCAAAATCCATTCTTTTATCAGTTACTTTTACCATATCCATGTACAACTACAAAGCACTGAAACCTGTTTCTACAACTTCATTGCATTCGACAGCCCTGTTCTTCGGCTCTCAGATAAATTAGCCCCCGTTGTATCCTCTGCCAGCAATACAATAATGTTAACATTTAAAAAGAGAGCAGAAGTTTTGCAATTCAGATATGAAGAAATAAAACAAACTAGAATACCTATTAAACTGTTATTTGTTATGTAAGTAATGCCAATAGCATAACATGAGGGAAACATGTAAACAATTCCATTTAAATGGAATACATGTGATAGCATTGGAGGTTTCTTTACCAAACCAACCTGATTATAACCATTCTTATCAAGGCTATTTATTTGTTTACATGCATATTCCTTTCCCTGAGTGTCCAAAATTTTGATAATCAGTTGGTTCAGTCACCTAATAAAGATTTAACTCAAGAACCGCCTACTTGGGACCTCTAGGGTGGTGAACTGTGAAATGTGAACCAGCACGTTATTGGTGGTCATCCTTACTATCTAACCAGCCATCTCTGACATTCTTACTGGATGAAGATCAACTACCTCTTTTGTATCTCTTAAACGCAATAGTTCCAATTTATCAGATGGCCTTAGGCTTGACAAGCTCACAAGCTGCAACCAGGTATAATACTCAGATTCTAGGAAATCATCAATAGATTAATAAACTAATTACTAGGCTATAAACCATAGAAGGCTATGAACATATACCCAAAAACTGAAGCGCTCAGGATCCTGTGGTATGGGCACTGCTTCAGCTTGAAGGAGTTCAATTTGCCTTGATCTCCTACCTGCATTAGGTAATGAACAAAGACACAAAATGCATAAAGTCATAAGCATTAGGCAGGGAGGGCAGAGGAGTTATTTATGTGTGCATTCGTACAATGGAAAAAAAAAAAGAGAGCAAACCAAGGAGATTTTCTAAAGCAAAAATATGGCCAATCAGATGATTGTATTGTTTTATGCTTTACCCTGAAAGCATTTAGCATTTTCCCCCAATCATCTGAGCAAATGTGAAAAGATAAAATAACCAGAATCATCTGCATTCGTTGAGACTCGTTTGGAGAAATCTCTTCATCAGGCCAAACACATGGCAGGCAAATTGATGATTGAGTAAAAAAACAAGTTAATACTTGGTAAAGTTTGTCAGAATTTCATAGTCCATTGTGACCCATAATCTATTGACAATCAAAGCAACTTCCCCATGAAAATAAGAAGACAAGATAAAATCTAATTCTAGAGGAAAAAAGGACAACATCGAGGATCCAAGATTTCTATTAAGCATAGTATTGTAAAAAGGAGGGTGTGTCAGGTTGGCAGCTGAACTTTTGCCAAACTCTCATGATATAGCCGACCCCATATAGTTGGGATAAGGCATGAACGATGATGATAGTATTGTAAAAAGGAAAAGACAAGTTTTTTTTTCCAATTCTCCTTTGTTAATGTTGTACCTGTTCGTGCTGCTTCTTTTGCTCTCCTTATCCATGAACGAGCAAATTCCGCTGCCTCACTAGCCACTTCCTGTAACTGTGATCACCCAAAAGAAAGAAAATACATTAAAGCACCAAAACAGAATGCTCATTAGTACAGTTTCTTCACTGTGGAGAACACAACATGCAATTTAAGTCTCATATAAGACACTTTAATCACTAACCACAGACCCAACAGGGCATGAAACTTGTTTTTTTCATCAACAATGGCATTCCAAATGGCAGATAATTCAACAAGAGAACATATAATAAGAATAGGTTGAGATTAAGGCCCCACATTGTCACATTTGTCCATTCTTGTCTTTTATAAGTTGCAGACCCAGACCTATTGCATGGAGTTGTTACAGGTAGAATGGCCCTCACATGTCAATTCTTTTTAACATGCAGGATGCAGCTTCAAGGATGATATCTAAAACTGGAAAAAAAGCAATACTGGAGGAAGGAATATTTAGATATATAGATATGAACTCTGTCACTGAGGTTCAGGCAGCAAAGGCCATGAAATTCCTTCTTTCTTTACCTAGATTCGCTACCAATGTTGAAAGAACTCTAATGCCCTCCAAGACCTTCCTTTATCACTTCAAGATACAATGAAAATCACAAATTGACAACACAAGATTGCAATATACTTACATCTCCCCTCTCTCTTGTCCCTTCCTGTGGAGAAATATCTTGTACCCATTCTACTTCTGCAATTCGATACCTTTATAAAGTAGTGGGGAAACCACCACAAATCATTCACTAGATAGAATTTGAATACATGACTGCCCAAGGAAACCACTACATCTATTTTAAGCTAAATCATGAAAAAACTAACCCATCCTGGTCCCATGATCGGAGGATGTGAAATCTTCGACGACCTTCAACCTGTGTCAGATTATCAGTAATTCATTTTAGATTATATATGTTACCAAAGTCCTCCCAGGAAACAACCTCGGAAAAATAATAGTGAAAGAAAAAGAAAAGATAGACTCTGCCCATTATTTACATATGGTGAGCATACAAAAGCATACATACCTATAACCCAAATTATAAACCAAACAATAAAGAAAAAATAACAAATAAAGTTTTCATTTCAGAGCAAAGGAAAATGCAATTTATCTGCTATAGCTGATTATGTTATGTCATTGTCAAATTTGTAAAAGAAAATAAGCAAAGATAAATAAATAAAATTTACATTGAAGTAGGGTACAACTTGTGCAGGCTGGGTTGAACAATTGTTAAAATTTGAAAGGGCATGGCCAGAGAAGGCAGGCCCAATGCAGTGTAAATTCTTCAAATCAAGTACTTGGTTTGATCCCTAAAAAGGATTAAACAATAAAAGCAACAGATAAAATTTAAATTGTGTAACATATGGACAATGCAACGAGTATACGATCTCTCTCTCTCTCATGTCTTACGTCAGCTAATCCGTTTTACTTGTTTTCTCTATTGCTGTTTAGGTTTTATTGCTTGAGTTGTTAATCTATTTTACTGCCAAACATCTTGATTGCCTGTAACTGGACATTGCGGCATTTTGTTTTGGGTAAAATCTACATTTATGTTTAATAATGTAAATATGACATGTTTTATTAAGATGATATTTAGAAATTTAGTCATATAAATTTAGTTGAGATTATAAACTTTTTGTTATTACCAAAATTACCATGGTTCTACCTGATATTTAGCTGGTTAATTATAATCGAATCTAATGGGTTCAGACCCAATGAGCCTGGTTACTAAAGGTTTGGTTCAGGACCTCACCCAGGACCCTGTAGGGTCTAGTTTGGTATTGGGTATCTGTGTTTTCTTACCAGTTTAGTTCCAGGACAGGGTTTATCAGTTGGGTTCTAGGACCGGGTTTACCCCTGATCCAGCCTAGACCTGACCCATTGGCGGGTCCAGACATAAATCATTATCTTTTAATCTTCAGTATAAAGCATGTCTAAAACTGAAGCCATGTTGGCTAGTTCTTAATAAAATGAAGCCATTTAGGTTGTTTGTAGATTTTTTTTTTTTATTTATTTATTTTTAATATGTAAAGAGTGTTAGCAAGATTGGGAATTACAAGGATAATCTTGTATGGGGATGGCAAGGGCTGGGTGCTGAGTTGTAAATTGATATTGTTTCTGGGTTCTTTAGTTCATGGGATTAAATAGCCAAAAGCTATTCTCTTTGTACCCTGCTTGTTATTTTTAGAGGGCAGGGATTTCTTTCTTCAATGAATGAAATTCTCTTTATTGTTGATGATCAAAAAAAAAAAAAAACATAGGATATAGGGAGCCTTCTTTATATACTAATCTCTGTTGCAATTGGAAGATCATGTGTATGCAAAATGCTGATGTCTATATAAAGGTTTCATGTTGTACCAGCCAAATATGCCATCCTCCCCAAAGAGCCCATGCATATGCAATACCATTTTCTGGTTTTCAGGATCCATCTACTACGGGAGCAGTTAACTAGTATTGGAAAACCTTGAATCTCTATTGCATATCGCCCTTTCTTTTCTAGAATTTCTCTAAAAAAAGAATGTGTATACATTAGTTATACTTGAAAAACTAAAACTACGAAAGTTGATGAATTTAACTAAAGTGAATCAACTTAAGTAACATAATAGCATCGATGTTGGACAACGAAATCTACTGGTGGAAGGCAACTCACAAGTGATGGTGAGATGGATCCTGAACGATAGGGAGGGGTCTTAGCATTATAGACATGAAATCAGGGATCTCAAAGGTATAGGAAGGACACTGAGAGTAACAAACAAGTGGATTCCATGTTCAGCCAATAGTATGGATGATGAATTAGCAAGGCAAGGAGTAAGAAGGAATGAAATGTTTCAGGGTTTGATTTCCCAAGGGGGAACTTGTAATCTTTGAAAAAGAAATGTAAGCAATGGGGGTGGCTTTTGCTGGCCCAAACAAAGGGGTGTTAGGGAACAGTTATGCATGTACAGAATTCTTTACTCAACATTAACAAAGTGAATTGTTACCAATAAAAAAAGAACAACATTGATGTCAGATCAGGAAAGGGAAGTATACAAGATTAATGTAGATCAAGAAATGTAGAAAAAAAAAATTCACCTCTAGATAGAAACGACCATCTGGAAGTGGCTCACACCTATACAAGTGCAAATGAAAACAAAATGGCTTGTAAGGTAAAAATAAACAATTGAATACAGCAACTCAAAAGCACGAATTTAAATAAATAAAACTAGAAAAGTCTAAGCAAATGATTATCACTTACTCAGTTATTTCAACTTCACAAGCCAAATCAGCTATGGCACCTGTTGTAGAGTCAATGGCAGCCTATGGGATAGGGAGGAACAAAAGAAAAGAATACATAAAAACAGAAAGAGAATATAGGAAGCCCTGAAAATAAACAGAATACAGAAGAGGACATAGAGAAGGATCAATAGTGGCCCACCATTCCCATTCGATGATTTCCTTCCATTATCCTCCTCACCTGGTTTTAATATAAAAATAAGTAGGTCAATATAACTGGTACATAGAAAACAAAAGAATGAAGAATATAGAAAACATAACAAAGACCAGAATTCGTATTAGCAGAAAAAGATTGTTATAAACACTATAATCCTATTATGGTTTTCATGATAAAGCAATAGTTTGAGCCAAAAATGAATAATGGGTCAACAATGAGGGACTGAATTCTCTTACTCATAATCCTATCATGATAAAGCAATATGAAACTGCAAAAATAAATTCTCTCACCGGATGATCAACAAAGAGGGACTGTAGTTCAACCAACTTCCAGACAAAAGTGAAAAATGTTTAGGCTATTATGAGATCGAAAAATCTAGATAAAGGAATAGTCAATGAACACCTAAGAGGCTCGAATTTGTCGATACTCTTAGAACTTGAAAGACCAATTGTATTAGGAAAACCAGTATCAAGTTCCAAAATTTGCATAAAGTTCTTTAACATGCTAAAACATCAAGAGATTTCCATGCTGTCATGCTGAGCTCTCAAACAGATCCTGGAACTCATGAACTGTTAGGTAACTGCCTAACTCGGGGACTTTTTCAAGGAAAGCCGGCCTCTTGAATGAGAGAGAGAGAGAAAAAAAGAAAGAGAGAGAGAGAGATTGTATTCCCAAAATCAATAATTCTTCTTCTGGCTTCCTTTCCTTATTTATAACACTTCTGTTACAATTCTGTTATATCAGCCTCTCCACTTGTCCAGTTTGTTATTTAGTTTGTTCTAGTAGTTGGCTATCAGTTACATTACTTAAAGGCTGACGTGGCCTTTTCTTGTACACTTGTCTCTTTATTCCCTTTATTTGTGTCTCAACATGAACAGAAATCATGGCTATCTATGGCTAAGGTATAAGAAAGAACTAGTAGCTTAACCCATGCGGTCATGCCACATGTAAAGATCCTTTACCTATCCAAAAAAAAGAGACTTTCCTGATTTGCTTTTCTCCAAAATTACTTATTGTTGACCACAGGCAAGAGCTATTTACTATTTCTATTAAAAACTATACCTAATCCCAAAAGAAATGGTCCAATATTTTACTATCATCATCATTATTTGAATCCATAAAAAAAAATGAAATGTCAAAAGATATTAACATCAATTAATCATAGACATCCTCATATTATTATAGATTGAATCTCAAAATGGAAGCCCGTTTTTTTAAACATTTTCAAGGCCATGAATTGATCATATAAATTACAGTGTATTGATGATATGTACAGAAAGAATTTCAAGACTTCTTCTCATCTAAGAGAGGAATAAGACAAGGAGACCCTATATCCCCTTTCCTTTTCACCTTAGTGACAGAGGTGTTGAGTAGAATGGTTGTGGATGAGGATACACAAGGACTTCGGGGTTGGAGAGGGTAGAAATCAAATTGTAGTATCCCATCTTCAATTTGATGATGATTCAAATCTATTCTGCAAGAGGGTTAACTTGGAAATTGTGATAAATTTGAAAGGCTTTGATTGGCAGATTTGTGAGTATCTCAAGGCTAAGGATCAATTGGAACAAAAATGGAATTGTGGGAATTAACTTGGAAGAGGGCGAAATCTGAGGTTTGCAGAGGTTTTGGGTTGTGAGATTAGGAACTGGCCTATTACCTACCTAGGACTACATTTGGGGGGAAACCCAAGAGCTGACAGCTTTTGGAAACCGATGGTGGAGAGGTTTGCCAAGATATTAGACCTTTGGAAAAGAAACTATATTTCTCTAGGATGAAGAATCACTTTGATTAGATCCATGCTAACAAACCTACCCATTTACTTCTTTACCACATTCCAAATCCCAATTAGAATAGCAAGACAACTAGAGAAATATATAAGGAGCTTCCTTTAGGAACCAAGAGAGGAAAAAAGGACCACTTGGTAAAATGGCAACGTGTTTGTAAACCAAAATAGAAAGAGGGCCTAGGACTAGGAAACATCAATCTCAAGAACACTGCATTGTTGGGATGTTCATTGCTATGGACATTGCCTTCTGAAAGAGACGGGTTGTGGCACAAGGTAACCGTAATCATTCATGGCTTGGAGGGTAATGGTTGGGATGCTAAAATTGCTCCTAACACAACTTCAACTTCTCCATGGAAAGCAATTCATGAGGTATAACCTCTCTTCCTCAGCTTTATACATTTTGATGTGGGGAGAGATGATAGAATTCATTTTTGGGAAGACCTTTGGGTAGGGGAAATACCCCTAAAAAATCAGTTTCCTGAACTTTTTGCCCTATCTAACCTCCAGAATGAAACCATTTCTAGATTGGGTACACCCTCCCCTAGGGGTGCAAATGGATTGAATCATGATCTGATCCGATCCGAGATCTGGTCCTATTTGATCAAATTCGGATCACCCCTATCCAATCTGAGAAGATCTGATCCGATATATATTATATATTTATAAATATAAATATATATAATACATATATATGTTATTTATTTATAAATATATTTTTTATATTATATTTTTATAAATTTGTTATATTATTTATTTATTTATAAAAACATGTATATATGTGATGAAAATAATTAAAAAATACTTGTATTTTTTGTTTTTACTTTATTTAAACTACTATATTTTATTTTTCTTTTAATAATTTATTAATTTTTAAAGAATACAAGTCGGATCGGATCAGAATTCAAATCAAGTCCTATCAGATCCAATCGGATCTTCGGATTGGATCAAATCCAACATGAACAATGTCAGATCGGATTCGAATATACCCTGATTTGAATCTGATCCGATCCGTTTGCATCCCCACCCTCCCCTTTAGGTCTTAATAATTGAAACCTTGGTTTCAGAAGAGGCCCAAGGGAAAGTCAGTGTAACTCTTTGACTGACCTGCTTGACATTTTGGAGTCAACTTTTTTGGATCCTAATTTGGAAGATTCTAGAATTTGGGTATTATTCACCAGATGGTTTCTTTACTTGCTCTGCTTTTTTTAATTTTCTTATGTCACCTATCTCTTAAGGGGTGGACTTCCTGATAAAAGAAATTTGGAATAAGCCTATTCCACCTAAAATTCAAGCCTTTTGTTGGGAAATTTTCCTTGAAAAGGTAAATACTTGTGATATGCTGCAAAAAAAGGCTTTCTTCTTGGAGTCTAAATCACCTACCAACAAAATATGTTCCAACACCCTACCAACACAATCAGACACCGCACATCTCATACATGGTGGGTCCCACTTTTTTGGTGGCTCCCAGTCTCATGGTGAGACATGTAGCATCAGATCAAGTTGGTAGGGGTTGGGACGTGTTTTGTTAGAGACCCCAATTCCTCTTCTTGCCTCTCTCCTCATATGTGCTTCTTATGTAGGGGTAGTGAAGAGACCCTATCTCACTTATTAATCTCTTTCTACTTTGTACACCATATTTGGGAATTTTTTGTTCTCTTTTTGACTGCAAGTGGAACCCCCTCAAGAGGTGGTGGACATCTTCAACCCAAATTTCTTTAGACAACCAAAGAAGAGAGAAAGGGTAATGTGGAGAGGTACTAAGGCAGAAGTTGTTTAGATGGTGTAGGAGGAGAGGAATAACAGATTTTTTTCTGCAAAGAACAGGACTTTGGAGGAGGTTCTAGATAGTACTAAAGTAAAGATAGCTTTTTGGGTAAAAACCATGGACAACTTCCACAAATTTTAATGCCCGACATTATAAGGACCTAGAGGGAAGTAAAACAATCCTCTAAGGAAAAAGAAGAAATATGAATGGAATGGAAACCCCCAGTAGGTGATAAAGTAAAACTGAACTTTGATGGGAGATCATTGGACAACCCAAGGTTGGCAAGAATGGGTAGTGCAATTAGAAACTCGGAGAGTAGGATACTAGCATTATATTCAGGGCCAATTGGTACTACAAACTTGATGAAGGCTGAATTATTGACACTACTATAGGGGCTTAGGTTTGCAAAACGATTGGGCTTCAGACAAGTGGAGGTGGAAGGGGACTCAAAAGTAATTATTTTGTAGGAGATGTAATGGACATATCCCATGGATTCTCAAACATGTTTTCAGGGAAGTGGAAATGATAGCCAAGGACCTAAATGCTGAATGCAAATGGGTTAAATGACTCCCTAGGCAAAGAAGGGGAAGTAAGGCAGCATTTGCACTAGGCTTCACAAGTTAGAGAACTTATTAGGTGGTTCATAGTCCAAGACTTGAACAATCAAAAATCAAACAATGAATAGACTTTCAGCATATATGCTATGTAGCAATTTTCATTATCTCATTCTAACCTTTACAACTTTTTTGTTGTTAACCAGATAATTAAGCACTTACAGTTGGAGATATATTTAAACATGGCCAGTCCAAGGAGTGGCCTAACACATCAAAGTATGCATTGATGAGCCACAGAACACATCCAGATTATGATGCTATCATTGAACTATTTCATGCCTGAGCTGATATCTTCCTTCTTTGTTTTTCTTTTCTTTTTTTTTTTTTTNAGTCGTGCCACCTCCTTAGTAAAAATCTCAGCCACCATTGAAGCTGTAAAGGGGTGGGAAAGAGGGAGAAAATGGCAGTATTTGGTGAATCTATCAACCACTACGAGAATGACAGACTTGCCATAGGAAAGGGGAAGCCCCGTTATGAAGTCCATGGATATATCCGCCCACACTTGTGTAGGAATTGGGAGTGGTTGTAGCAGACCTGCTGGAGACTGGGTATCAGCCTTATTTTTCTGGCAAATGATGCATTCGGCTATGAATTTTTGGACCGAATTCCACATGCCTTTCCAGTGGAATTGGGTGGCTAGTCTCTTGTAAGTGCGCAAAATCCCTGAGTGTCCTCCTGTTGGTGATGAGTGAAACACTTCCAGAAGCTGCTGAATATGGGCTGAATCCTGTGGTATCACCATTCAACGTTTATACAACAGCAAGTTATTCTCCACTGTGTACCCTGGGTGGCTAGTAGGGTCCTCTTGGACCTGTGAACGCAGCTTGTTCAGTTGTGGGTGTCTTTCAGCTTCTTCCCT